ATTCACAAAAATAGTACATAAAATAGCTAACCTCAAAGATCAATCTTTGAGCAACAAAATGAGTCTTTGTATAGAGTCTGGTATGCCTTGAATGAAGAGTTACAGTCCCACAAAAATGAGTATTGTATAGCACGCCATGTTCCTCGCAAACACAGATCGAGCTATGAAAATTGGCTCATGTGATCGAGTTTCCAATCCTCCCCACCTTACAATATCTATGAAAAAAACCTGTAATAAAGCCAATAACAGTAAAGATACATTTTTATGAATAATATATTTCTAGAATTGGGAGTATCTTAAGCAGAGATTAATACCTAATGATGGACTAGGGCCTAAAGGAAGAGACTGCCATGCTGGTGCTATTATCAATGGTGTCTGTACCTCACCTACACTAGTAGTGATTGGTGGAATGGATAGTGAAGTTGAGCCAGTGAATGAATGTTTGTTATTAGACACAAACCAGTACAATTGGATGAAGGTATTAATACATGTGAATCATGTGAATGTGCATTGATTAAAGATTTTTGTACTATTCATGCAAATAAGTAGAGTACGTATAGTGGCTATATTTCCTCAGAGTTTAATTTCTTTCTTTTTGTTCTCATTTCTTGTGGAACGAGCATTTTCCAAATAAAAAGGGCATGTCATCGATGCCACATGTTCAAAATGGCTGCTCAGAACGAAAATAAAACGAACAAAAATATCTATAATCCTGCTTAGAATGAACATTTTTCCAGACAAAATGTACCCACTATACGGTAGTTGTTTTGAGTGTGGCTAAAAATTATTCATTATTTGATTATTTTGACATTTTGCTTCTATTTTTTTAAATTTTGTCCTTATGCCAACCCTATAGGCACCTACTGTACATCAAACTATCCCATAACTGATACCAACTGTACAACATCACTCTGTAAATTGTATACTCTATATTTCTTGTTTTTACAGATTCCTCTACCTGATTCTGTTACTGGTAGATTTGATCATACTGTATCATCTTTTGTTGTCGATCCTAATCATGTGTTCCTGATTGTATTGGGAGGTGATGTAAAGATGGAAGAGAAAAATGTAGGAGGAGGAGTAATGGAATGGGTTAGTACACGTGTGACTGAGCCTAATAACACAATGGTAGTAGAACTTGGTAAGATTATCAGAAAAATTTTGTGATAGACTATCATGTAATTCACACCTAAACTATAATGTAAGTGAATGTGATGCGAAAAGTTCAATATGTAGAATCACTATTAAAATAAAAAATACTTTTTCCTGAATTTCAAAAGTATAATTTTGTCATTCATTCTTTTTGTCCTTTATCTCCCTCACTCACAATCACTAACTTATAATTATTACTCTCATTTCCTCTCTCTCTCTCTCTCTCTCTCAGTTTTTAATGATGGTCAATGGTCAGTGGGTCCAGTATTAGATTCATATAATATTCCTTTATTGTATGAACTAATACTAAAATATAGAAGAAACGAATTGATTGGAATGAATGAATACATGACAGATAAAGAGAAGGAGCTTCAAGTCATCAATGAGTCTTTACTTTATGATCTACAAGTGTCTAGAATTAATAACCAATCACTTCAGGAAAAACTACTGGAGGCTCAATCACTATCAGGTGAATAATATAATTAATGGAGCTATAGTACTGTAAAGTTATTTTTGCCATGTTTTATTTTTAGTTTTCATAGTTTTTGTGCAATTTAAACCCATTGAAGTGTCATCCTTTTACAATGCTATCTAAGCTGCCCCACTGTCCGTGGCATGTAAAGTGGGACAGAATACATACATGTACATGTATGTGTAGCCTTGTAAGAGAATGGCACCACCACAAGTTTATAGTGGAAACTACAGCCGGGAGGGGTAGTTAGAAGTGGTCTTTTCATACAGGTAAAGCAAAATTACATCAACAAGTCCACTTTCTTATTTTGCTTCAAAAATCATAGGTACCATATATCCTTAAATAGAAGCCGCATTTGAATAAACGCCAGGGTAGCAATACAATTTAAATATACATGTAGGTT